ATTGTAATTGTCACAGTCCTGCGTAATTGTGAACCATGTGGTGGTTGCAATTCACGAGAAGAGTCAAAAAAACAATTATTGCAATTGTTGACAGTCTTTAGTGAGTCGTGAAACATGTTATAACGTTCCGACCGTTTACGATTAATGGGCCATCCACGTCCGCTCTTTCGACATGTGAGCTCATCCCATTCCAACGATCGGTTCGTTAATTTTCCAGAACTTCAAATCATTATTTACTATCTTTGCAATCACTACATGACTTTTCTCCGTACTTTAACCTCAACTACACGGTATCGCAAATCATCCTGATAGATCATAGTACATAATTACAAACCATTTTATCACTATCATGTAGCAATTTATATATATAACAATATTATCTGTTATATATATATATATATTTATTTATATATTGTTTGTTGAAAAACAGTATTATTTGTTATAAAACACATCTTCATAACACAATTACAAAGAATATTTTTCTTTATATTAGTATTTTATGTGGATAAATTATTCAGTAAAATTAAACTTTTTGTTCATATTGGTATTATAAAAATTATATTTATTAAAGAAATATATTGAGCTGGTTTTAGATATTTATTAAAGAAATATATTGAGCTGGTTTTAGATATGGACTCTTATCTAAAGAAATTATTGTAATTGTCACAGTCCTGCGTAATCGTGAACCATGTGGTGGTTGCAATTCACGAGAAGATAAGGTTCAGGGTTCATTTGCCTTTCATTCTCAATGAGATCTCAAGAATTTACACACACACATTTCAATATATTGTGCTTGTTATGGACTCCTATCAAAAAACAATTATTGCAATTGTTGACAGTCCTTAGTGAGTCGTGAAACATGTTATAATGTCCCGTACGTTCACGGTTAATGGATCATCCACGTCCGTTTTCTCGGTCTGTGAGTCTCTGTACTACGGCCGGTTGGTTAATTTTCTAATACTCCAAATCATTGTTTACTGTCCCTGCAATCACCATCTGACCTTTCCCGTGCTTTGGTCTCACTTACACGATATCGTAAATCACTTTCTGATAGGTCACTCATCCTTTGACTACTACAGCTTAAGCACGTTTAACTCTAGAATTCTCTTTAGATGTGCTCCCGAAAAAATAAATACACTTTGGTAACATAGGCAGACAAATCAATCCTCTTAAATCTTTCCATGGATGTTACACATGTGTTGGTTGCAAATCACGAGAAGCGTCAATAAATACACACATGTCATCAACCATAAGGTTCATCGCCTTCATTCTCAGTCAGATCTCAAGAATTTACCGGTGATCTCTCTCTCTATTTCTCTTTATTTTTTGTTCTTCATGTAACTACTACATTCTCTCTTTTTTTCCCATTTTTGGTTGCCCGCTTATGATTACCATTAACATCAAATACCATTAATCATATCTTCTACTAATAATTAACTACACATAACCTTACCTGTGTAAAACATTTACAAGAATATCATTGTATATGTTGAGATCGTTTCACGTACATAAAATTTAAGAGGAGTGGAGGAGGGTTTAGTGCAGGATATCTCAACAAATAGTGAGAAGTCAGTGAATGTGTTTTCTTTTTTGAATGAAGAAGATAGATTAATGTGTTTAGCCTTTGGGATATGGTGTTATATCTAACTGTGAATATGCGTTTTCAGTCAGCTATGTGGGGGCTTTTGTTCGATATTATTATTCAGTTTCATCGTTAATACGCTTAGAAAATCACTCTCCATATAAATTTTATCCATTAGTTAATTACTCTATATGTGATTCTTGGACCGTTTTGGTGTTCTTGCTATCTATTAGAATATGCTACAATGTTATCATAATATTACTGTTCTACCAAAAAAAGCTTGGTGTACTTTTTTTTTCTCAGTATGTATGATTTCATTTGTGTATGTTTAAATTGGTAGCATTAGTAGAGGTTCTTAAATAAGTTTTAGAATTATTATTATTTAAATCAGATTTAAAAAACATTAATTCAATATAATAATCCATCTTCCTCATTTTATTACAGAATTTGAAATTCGAAATGGCGAGGATGTATCAGAAGATGGCTCTTTGCGGTGGTGAAGGTGGGCGTGAATGGGACGACGGTGTACACGAGGGTGTAAAGAAAGTGTATGTTGGGCAAGATCTCTCACGTATCACTTACATCAAATTCGAATACGTGAAGGAAGACGGCGAAGTTATAACACGTGAATATGGGACAATAACTCAAGACCCTAGAGAGGTTCTTTACTACATTTACCCTCCCTTTTTCACATTCTTAGTTTTTCTTTAATTTCTTGATTGAACGAATAACATTTTCAAGTGCAGTTTATAATTGAATATCCGGATGAACACATCACAGCAGTGGAGGGAAGCTACAACAAAGTGGCTCTAATAGCCACAGAGGTGATCACGTCCCTTGTCTTCAAGACTTCAAAGGGTAGAACCTCTCCAACGTTTGGTCCAAACTTGTTCGGAGTTGTTAATGGCACAAAGTTTAAGTTGGAGGAGGAAGGAAAGAAGATCGTAGGTTTTCATGGACGGTCGGCTAATGCTATCGACGCTCTTGGAGTTTACCTTGAACTAGACTCTCTGACCACTCCATTCCCTATTTACAAGCTGGAAGCCCAAGGTGGTAAAGAGGGGAGTGTATGGGACGATGGTTGTTTTGATGGTGTTAGGACAGTGCGTGTTGGTCAAGATGATTGTCGTATCACCTATTTGGAGTTTGAGTACGTGAAAGCTATGAGGTTAGAGACACGACACCATGGGGTGAAAGGAGAAACACATTCTGAGGTATTTTCTACTGTCTTGTATATTGACCTAATAAATTCTCAAAAAATAAAGTTATAAGTCATGTCAGATGTAAATTTTGGTTTAATATATGTGGATTGTATAACACAAGAAATTTAGAAATTTAGTACCAAATACTGTAGTTGATGATTAGCAGAATCCACATAGTTGTTAGTTTGGAAAGGTGATTAATATAATATTATTAGTGGGAATGAAGTATCTCTTTAAGACCTCTCACAACGAATTTTTTTTTTAATGATATATAAAAGAATTTGAAAAAAAAATATTTAGTGTCGATTAGTTTTAAGTTGGAATCTTAGGAAAGAGTCCATAGTAGTTAGATCCATGTATTTGGATTTATTCCAGCAAAATCTTCTTGAATTTTTGCTTCTTGTTGCAGTTTGTGGTTAATTTCCCAAATGAAGACATCAAATTGGTGGAAGTAACCTATGATAAGCCAAAGCTTTTCCGCAATACCGTCATTACCTCACTTAAGTTTGAAACAACAACGGGTAGATCAGCAACTTTTGGGTATGAAGCGGGTAAGAAGTTTGTGCTAGGTGGGCCTAGGCTTGTTGGATTCCATGGAAAGGAAGGTGAAGCTATTGATGCTCTTGGAGCTTACTTTGAACACATTCCTATCCCCATTCCCCCTCCAGTGATAGGAGATTCATGGGGTGATTATGGTATCTACGATGGTGTGAAGAAGATAAAAATAGGACTCTATGAGGAAGGTATAGCCTTTGTCAAGTTTGTGTACATTAAAGGCAATGGCCTTGTAACTGGTGATGACCATGGGAAGATAACTTCACTTGGAGCTGAAGAGGTCATATTTTTTTTTCTAAAGCCAACAACAAGAGTTTTTGTTTCAAATAATACTTCTCTCCCTATTATTTACACTTGCTATACCTTTGAGCCTTTGCAGATTGTGCTTGAGAATGGTGAATATCTGACCGGCATAGAAGGCTACTATAGACCTATAGCTGGTGCACTATTTGGAAAGATTGTGTCTATTAAGTTCAAGACGAACAAAAGGGAGACACCTCTGTATGGATTGGATTCAGGTGAGAAGTATTCTATTGAGGAGAAAGGCCACAAGATCACAGGGTTTCATGGACGAGCTACAGCCGATGTTATCTACAGTATCGAACCCATTTCCAGGCCAGTCTAGCAGTTCAGTAAGAGATTGGTGTGTGTGTTTCCCCTTTGCGAATAAATAAATCTCAATGAAGAGATTAACATGTGTTTCTCTTTATGAATAAACTCTTTTATAATTTTTTCCTATTCTTGTTTCTTTTGAGACCCTTAAAATATAATTTTCACATATATTTTGTGTAGTCTTTATTGATTCTTGAATGCATTATACTTTAGGTCACATTTGTGTCTTTCTTTACAAGGAAAGACACATTCTCGACAACCAAGACTTAAGGAAATTATGCCTTGCTGAATTCAATACAATTTTTTTTTCTTTTTTACCACAACATTTTATTTTAGTTAAGCTTATTTTATATTACTATTATTTTTCCATCTTATGTTTTCATTTGTTTTTTTTCTCAAATTTTGAGATATATAGCACAAAACCATTGTGACAATAAATTGTAATTTTTTTTCTCTACATTTTAACATCCATTTTCATATATATATTTTATATGTTTCAAAAATTATATAAAATGCAGGACATAAAAGATGTGGATGAATAAATATGGACATGTGGATAGTCTAAGGCTCCAGATGGTGACCAAATGAATGAATGGGAATAGTCAATTCCTTACTATTCCTTATAATTTACACCATTTACAAGGAATATTTGTTACCTATGATTCCTTAAGATTTAAGGAATAAAAGAATACAATTATTCCTTGTCAAATTAGAAGGGGAACAAATTTTCTTTTTAATATTTTCCTTTTCATTCATTTCTTTCTTATTCCTCATATTACTTTGATGGTTACCAGTTAAAGCCTAAGTGTGGATAGAAGAACTGTGGATAGCAAAAACATAATGATACAAGTTGATTGTATATGTTACATCATGTGTCACACCATTCTCTTCATTAGTAAAATCAACTCATATATCCTCTGAAACATTTTGAACGATGGTTGTTTTATAAAGCCAAAGACTCAAGAGAATAAAAAAAGAAACATGAATTAAAGCCATTACCTGAACAAAGCCAGTTAAACCTCCAACAAAGAAATGGTTATACGTACGGATCATAACGAGAAACCCTTCAACTCTTGCTCTTGGCGCTGTTGCAAGGTTGCTTCCGGTGATAGCTTAGTGATGTGACAGACACACATGGGACACTTGCAAGGGCTTGACACTGCCTCACAGTTCCAGTACTGCAAGATGCAAGTTCTTGTATGTAACACAACAACAGTAATAACTAATCAGCGAACAAGACCAACATAATTTTCGTTAGAAAGGTCTTATAAATGTGCCATTCAGAACCAAATGACGTCTCTAGTAGTTACTATATCAGATAAGCATTTCTTCAGTATCAATAAAGAGCTACCAATCTACCATGGCTTAGAAGTTTTTATGAGAAGAAGTTAAAATCAAACAGTTACTGCTATACCAATGGACACACTTCCCCCCACAGGGACTATAAAGGATCTGAAACAGATCTTGCAACAATTATCCTCTAAAGGTGTTTCGTTCTCTTCACTTCTATCCGTTTTAATCGTCCTCTCCTCCACTGTCATGATGGCGTTAGACGCCTCCACTGGCTAGTATCAGTCAAGGCCCATCGAAGCCCTTATGCTCCAATCATCATCAAAATCAGAATCCTCGTTAGCATCCACACAATATCTGTGAACTACTGTCCACACCGATTACATCCACACAATATCTGTCCACATCAGCCATAACCGTATCTCCCGACAACCACATCCACACATTCCTAATCCACATAATTCAGATACACAGAGTGGTGTTCGACGGTATTGGTTTCATATTTAATTATCTTAGTTGTTGAACATGAATCTTAGCAAGAACAATATATATCTAAACAAAATTGATTAACACAAAATTCATAGGAAGAAGAGGAGAAACTGAAAAGGGAAAAGCTCCCCTTTATAGAAGAGTTCATCGGCAGGACAAAAGAGAAGGAAGAAGTTTTTCACAAAGGATGGCAATTTGAACTCAAATTCCGACGTTGATGGCGACGGGCGAGTGAGATTCCGAAGGCGAGAAACGTAGACGTGGTTGACGTTTCATCATGTTCTTATGTCTCTGTTTGTGTTTTCTCTTAACATTTTTACCAGATCTATAAAAGAGATAAGAGAGAGACAAAACACCACAACAAATGTGTCTCAGGCAACATGTGCCTTTCCGTGTAATTAAAAAGTTAGATTGTGTTCCTAAGTGTAAATTTCTCTTGATTCTTTTACTAAAGAACAAACCCTAATAATTTTGTCAGAGAAAATTACCCATATTCTGTGTATAAATCTTTAATTCTCTTTTAATATAAGACCAAACACTAAAAAGTTTTTGTAAGAAAAACATCATACAAGAATTTTTAAAACCAAGACCACTCCATACTTTATAACGTGTTGGGAAAGATCAGAGCAGAGCAAAGCAAAGCAAAAACCATCTAACACATTCTCAAACTAGTACAAGTGCTTCCTTTCTACCTACGGTTCAATCACTTCCTCACAAGATTACTGCTAAAATGCATATTCTAGTTTTGTGCTCTCTGTACAGGCCATGACTGAGACACTCTCCATCAATGCGTGTATAAAATATCCAAATGGATGTTAAAGCAAAACAAAAGCGATAGATAGATTACGACCTACTTCAGTAGTACTTTTGATATCTTCCTCATATAAACAACTAAAGACAAAACCGATAGTCCCGCTGAAACATAAAGCAATCCAGCACCAGAAGCTACGAGCCATCCAACACTGGCTTGCAAGAAGTATGGTTAGTGCTACGAGACATTGTAATCTACATACAGTCAAGAACACGTCACTTACTCTACAAGTAAAGAATTTTTATTTAGGAGAATGCAATCAAAATATCTTACCTCTCTACCAATGATAGCAATAGAAGGTACAGTCAGTAACCATGGGACTGGTCCAACTTCGATAGGTTTTTTACACAGTAAGATCAAAGTAGCTGCAACCATAAACTAAAAACCCAAATATACAAATTAGAACCTACATTAAACCTCACATCCAATAAAATTAAAACTTTTTTTTTTTTTTTTTTTTTTTTTTTTTTTTTTTTTTTTCAATAAAATTAAAACTTGGGATTAGAAAAGACCTTATCTGCAACAGGATCCAAAAGCAGAACCTAACTTCATCTGAAACGTACATAATTTCTCACCCATAAGATTGCAACATTAAAAAAAAAAAAAAACTAAGTGTTCTAAAAATCGGTCTAGGCATCAACTATAAGATCTTTCTAGAAACTCTGTCTAGGCTAAACAATAATAATACTCTATAAAGAGAGTCTAGTCTAATTAAAGGCCAACGATGTTAGGTGAAAAAAAGAAAGTAGCACCTTGCGTGCGAGATAGCCGTTTCAGGAATTGGATGGAGAGAAGAAGATGAAGTTGAATCAATTAGAAGAAATTTCACGACAAAAAACTGAACAAGTTGGCTTTTTTGTCTAAATAAGGCCTAAACAAATATTCTTTCTTACTAGCCCAAAGCCCATACAAGAGACATGTCGTTAGCTTTATTACAATGGTTTAGTTGTTAATTGTAAATAGATAACCGGTTTATCTTCTTCTCTTCTTTCTCTCTCTCTTAATGAGATCATAAATTTTACCATGAAAGCTTTTTGGGTGAATTTGCCTAATACCTTCATTTGGGACCATAATTAGTAGAATACCCATAATATGATATAAAGGCAAAACATAGTAACTTTTATGATTTGAATGGACAAAATTTGTTAGCGAGTTAACATATTTTTAACATGATATACAAATTGTTAGTAAATTAACAAAATTTTAATATGGTACAAATTTTTTTATCGGGTTATGTCTATTTATTAACATGTTAAACAAATCGCTAACAAAACAGGTTAGCGTGTTAATAATACTAGTATCATAAAAATACATATATTAACCGCTAATCAATTATCTATCAAATAGCCGTAAACCTATTTGTAACAGCTAACACTCTATCTACCGGTTACAAATTCATTAAAATATAATAATAACGGGTAAATAATGAAATAATTGCTAACTTACATATTATCTAAATAAAAGAATGTATATTTCAAGATTTGAGATTGGAAATAATAGAATCAGTGTAAGATAATAACATTAGCAATATGAATATCAAAAGAATCAGAGTAAAAAATAGAGATTTATGATGAAAAAATGAAAGCATAAACATAACATGTGTGAGAGATAAAAAGATCAGAAGATAAGGAAGAAAAGAGAGAGAATGAGATAGGGGTATAATATTCTGACGAAATAGTTTTTATTTAGAAAGGGTAGATGGTAAATACGAGGTATACGTAATCCCATCAATTTCTGAAGTTTTTTTTAGCTCAATTTCCATTTATGTTCATTGTAAATAATAAATTCTACAATAATAAGTGTCTATTTCGTATTTGGATCATATGGTTTATTGATTATATTCAAAGTTTGGTATTTAAAAGGTAGGCCTAGAATTGAAATTTTGGGTTTGTAGTAATTTACTTTTTTTTTTCTTAATGAATGATAATTTGAGTATTTTTCTTGTGTATTATTTTTGTGACAATGTTTTTTAATGCTAATTATAGAACTTGCCTTGCTTGTGGGAAAATACAAAGATGAGTCGGAAATGATCATATACTCTAGTATCTATCTAGATAGTAAAAGAAGAAAATGTTTTTTTTAAACATCATTTGAAATGTAAATAGTTGATTACAACCCATTCTAAATAAACCTATATTATCCCCTAAAATATTGCTTTTAAGTCTAGTACCACCTCTAGTTTTTAATTATTTTCTTAATGAATTTAAATCTACAGAAAAAAAAATTAAAAAAAAAAATCTTGCCTTTTTTTTCTTTCTCTCTCTCTGTTTGAGTTCTTTACACTGTAAAAAAAGACTTGTTATCTTCATCCTCAAACTTAAATCGCGTAATGAAATGATGATCAAGCAAGTAGCCTAGCTTTACTACTCGACCGGATCTTCCAACTCTCATCGTTCGAGCTCAGTAACGATGATCACCGACGCCGACACTCTCTTCGCATCTGACCACAAAAGGTATCGTTTCTTCTCCATAAGCTACATTGCTTACTTCTTCGATTTTCCATATGTTTCTGATTTTTATCACATTCCAAGGTTTCCCGTGAAAGCTTATGATAACCATCTAGTTGATCTTGATTAGTTTATTGTTTCTGGTTTTAATCTCTTCTATGTGTTGGGTCAGATAAAGAGAGAGAGTCTTTGTCTCAATGGATCTTGTCTTAAATATTTTGCAGTACTGATATAGTTTGGTTTTTATTAAACAGGGATGCTTATGGATTTTCTGTGAGGCCTCATCATGTGCAAAGATACCGAGAAAATGTTAAAATCTACAAGGTTTTTTGTATCTCCAAATATATATATTCTTTTTTTTAAAAAAATTTCTACGCAGGTTTTGTCATTTCATAAAAAAAGAAGGTTTGGTTTGTCTTAAGACTTTGTTGCTTTCATATCAGAAGCTGTGTAAGATATTAACACTAGAACTTCAAGCCTTAATAATGGCGCTGATCAAATGGTTGAGATATATATATATATAAAAAAACGCAGGAGGAAGAAGAGGAGAGGTCGGAGAGGTGGAACAGTTTCCTGGAAGATCATGCACAATCTGACCTCTCACCTGTGAATGGATCATCTGAAATTAATCCAAGTACTGAAAGTGATAATAAGTACGCTGAGGAAAAACATCTCCATAGTGACAAGCCAGGTCCTGATTCAACTCAAGGAAATGTTGGAGAGGAAGATGAGAAGAGAGTGGTCAGGTTTCAGATATGGACTGCGATCAGACCATCTCTTCGAGCCATTGAGGACTTGATGAGTGTCCGTGTTAAAAAGAAAGATGGCGATGGCGAGCAAGAAGCTCCGAAATTGAAGTCTTCAAAGAGAGTAAATGGGAATGATTCTGAAGACGAGTTGTATGATGTGGAGAAAGAACTTGAACTACTTGTTCGAGGTGGTGCACCTATGGCTCTGAGGGGTGAGGTAATACACCTATTCATTCTCTACTCTTGTCATAGATTATTTATTTCTCGTGTTATTAACTATTACAAATTTTCCAGCTCTGGCAAGCATTTGCGGGGGTTAAGAAACGGCGGGTTGAGAACTATTACCAAAATCTGTTAGCTGCTGATAGTCTAGGAAAGGACATAGAGCATGCAGATGAGAAAGGTTTAAGTGCAGACCCACTCGCTGTTGTGGAAAAATGGAAAGGACAGATAGAGAAGGTTAGCAACTATATATTATATCCTACTGTGGTTCTTTACTTCTCAAGTCTTTGCTTGTTTCCAAGTACAGGATTTACCCCGGACATTTCCAGGTCATCCTGCCTTAGATGATGATGGCAGAAACGCTCTGAGGCGATTGCTAACTGCATACGCTAGGCATAACCCCTCTGTTGGATACTGTCAGGTATATTCTAGTCCGGTGACAAAAATGAACATCTTCAGTTGTATTTATTATCTTATACAAAAAAATCGTGTGCAGGCTATGAATTTCTTTGCTGGTCTTTTATTACTTCTGATGCCCGAAGAGAATGCTTTTTGGTATCTTCAGAAACTACTCTTAAGTTTGTGTTTCTTTTGGCTGAATGTTAACTACTGTTAGCCCATTCCTTAAATCTTCTGGTTAGTGATGTCTAAGCTAACTAAGTATTACTTATGATTTTGAGGTCGCTGATAGGAATCATTGATGACTACTTCAGTGATTATTATTCTGAAGAGATGATCGAGTCACAGGTAAAGTAAAATACAAGTTGATTGTTTTTGCACATAGAAATTTACTTCTCCCTCTACAGAGAATATTTTTTTTTCATTGTTCCTGTATCTTGGTTCTTATTTTAGGTTGACCAACGAGTTCTGGAGGAGTTAGTTCGAGAGAGATTTCCTAAATTGGGTTAGTTTCTTCACCGTCTTGTTTCATCTTTTACCAAAATCGTCGCAGTTGGTGATAATGCTCTTTGTGATTTCTATACTTGTGCAGTTCAACATCTAGATTATCTTGGAGTGCAGGTGGCTTGTGTTACAGCGCCATGGTTTCTTTCCATCTTCATCAATATGCTTCCATGGGAAAGTGGTCAGGCTCCAAACCAGTTTTATTTTTGCTATACAAAAATTGTGATCTTTAAATATTATGTCTGTCATTCTGAAAGATGTTCTTTGTTTATAAGTTCTCAGAGTGTGGGATGTGCTTCTGTTTGAAGGAAACCGTGTTATGCTTTTCAGAACAGCACTTGCGTTGATGGAGTTTTATGGTATACTCGGCTAAACCTAAGTGTCCATATGATATATATATATACTGTGATTAAGGGGCTGTTCGTTTCTCCATTTATAATCTCTATTCAGCTGATCCATCTATGTGATCCATCTAAATGATTCATCCAGATTTTAGGGATTGTTCGTTTTTCCATCTAGATGAGTCATCTAAATGAACCATTTGAATGAATTTCATGTTTGTTTTTTTTTTTTTTTTCCATTCAAATGAGTTTGATAAACAAATTACATATATACCCTTGTTTTGATCTAATCATATGTTTACTATTAATTATAACTATACTAATTAATATTATTTAGTCTAAAATATATTTAAACTAAATCAACCTCCAACAATGCGGGAAAATGCATTTTTGCTGTTTTGGCGGAAAAACGAGTTTTTCGGTTTTTTAGGGAAAAATAGATTTTGTGATTTTTGGCGGGAAAACGAGATTTTGTGATTTTGGCGGGAAAACGAGATTTTGTGATTTTGGCGGGAAAACAAGAGTTTCGGATTTGGCGGGAAAACGAGTTTTTCGGTTTTTAGGGAAAACGAGATTTTTCGGATTTGGCGGGAAAACGAGATTTTTCGGTTTTTTTAGGGAAACGAGATTTTTCGGATTTGGCAGGAAAACGAGATTTTTAGGATTTGGCGGGAAAAGGAGATTTTTCGGATTTGGCGGGAAAACGAGATTTTTCGGTTTTTAGGGAAAACGAGATTTTTCGGATTTGACGAGAAACGAGATTTTTCGGATTTGGCGGGAAACGAGATTTTTCGGTTTTTTTTAGGGAAAACGAGATTTTTCGGTTTTTAGGGAAAGTGAGATTTTTCGGATTTGGCGGGAAAACGAGATTTTTCAGATTTGGCGGGAAAACGAGATTTTTCGGATTTGGCGGGAAAACGAGTTTTTCAGTTTTTAGGGAAAAAGAGATTTTTCGGATTTGGCGGGAAAACGAGATTTTTCGGTTTTTTTAGGGAAAACGAGATTTTTCGGATTTGGCGGGAAAACGAGATTTTTCGGATTTGGCGGGAAAACGAGATTTTGTGGGTTTTTTCAGTTTTCGTGTGTCACGGAACAATTTTATTTTTAAGTTTGTAATTTGTGAATTACAACAGAGGTATAATAGACATTATACCATTTTGAATGAACCATCTCCATTTAAATGATCCAAATTCGTTCAGCTGAATGAACTTTAAAATTAAACCTAAATTTTCAAAAATCATTCAAATGGATCATCTGAATGAGTTGTCCTTTTTGTGTCTAAACGAACAAAAAGCTCATCTCCATTCGAATGGATCATTTGAATGAAGAAACGAACAGCCCCTAAGTCTTATACTGAACATACCAGTAAACACTTTGCCATATCAGGTCCTACACTAATTACAACCAAGGACGCTGGAGATGCTATTACTTTGCTACAATCAATGACTGGTTCAACATTTGATAGCAGCCAGCTCGTTTTCACTGCTTGCATGGGTTACCAAGATGTAAACGAAAGTAGATTGCAGGAACTAAGGAGCAAGCACAGGCCAGCTGTGATAGCTGCGTTTGAGGAAAGACTAAAGGGGCTTCAAGCTTGGAGGGATTCTAAAGACCTTGCGACCAAATTATATAACTCTAATCAAGACCCAAAATCAGTTTTGTTAAATTTCAGCAAAGCCTCACTGTCGAATGGGAGCTTGTCTCGTTCTGAATCAGGATCCAGTAACGCAGACGATGTCTTGATTGGTTTGACTGGGGATGGAGAGATAGATTGTTTCCAAGACCTTCAAAGACAGGTAAGGTAACTTGTGTCATTCTTTATGTTGGATGGGAGATGCCTTCCCTAGGAATATAAAGGATAAAATGTTTTAATTGCGACGTGGCAGACACAACCAGTATGTCACTCGTTAGGGAACTTTTATAATTCACTTAAAAGAGTTTCAACAACTTCTCCAGGTTACTCGGTTGAAGGGTGAACTCTGCAATTTGGTTGAGGAGAAGCGATCGGCTTTACTAAGGTTAATCTCTTAGCTTTATATATGACTTTGGATATTTAAACCATGCGTGAAATTTTTATAAATCTCTTCTCATTATTATTCTTCAATCACTTCCAATGTAAGTGTAGAGCTGAAGAGTTGGAGGTTGCTCTCATGGAGATGGTCAGACAAGACAATCGACGTCAGCTTAATGCTAAGGTAATTCCCATTTTAATTTAAAACTCTGCTTCCTAATGCTAAGATCATTCTATTTGAGATAGTCTGACTTGTCCTATGCTAATTGATGAACATGATATTATTTTTTGGGGGGTAGATTGAGGAGTTAGAGCAAGGGGTGAAAGAGCTTCGAAAGCTTGTGTCTGATAAGAAGGATCAAGAAGCTACTATGATACAGGTTTGCATTTCAGATCAATATGTGCTCTCTTCTAGCGCAATTCAATGTATGCTGACCACTTGAGAATTATGAAGGTCTTGATGCGGATGGAGCAAGAACATAAGGTAACAGAAGATGCATGATAAGGGTTTTTAATCCTCAGAGCAAATCGATTGTAGTATTTAAGATTGTCGAACCACAGGGAACTAGTGTCTAAACAGTAGAAATACACAAACCTTCCTAAGCTAAGCAAATAAGAGTTGTATTTGTAACAAGCTAAGGTTCCTAGAAATATAAACAAGGTGATCTCAAATCCAATATAGAAACAATCACAAGAAC